TGTTGAAATCATTATCTAGCAACAAAGTTTTGGTTTAAAGCTTGCTAATTGAAATAAAAGAAGGCAAAGGTAAATAGTTTTGGAAACTCTTTTGTGGAAGGATCACTCGGATGTCGCTTCCCCCTAACTGCTACCATGATATGTGAATTGGAACGATTGCCTTGGGCATGGTAATCGCGAACCGTAGAGGGATGCATATATGGCAGGAGACCACAATCTCAATTGCTAACCGAGGTAAGCATGATCGACAGTATCACTCCAACTTCTTGGTTTCGACAATCGGTAATTGACTTACTCCCTTACTCAACTCAAAGGCCGGATGGTTTAATCGCAATTAACCGATTTTCTTAAGTCAACATTGAGGGTTACCCTAACTTAACCTAGTTAGGTAGCCTAGAAAGCGGAAGGAAAACCAACTCGATTGAGTCTCCCTTGGAAGGGGGATTTTCCTCTCTAAGCTAGGCTAAGGTGGCTAATTAGATTGCTAGCACCAACATGCACAAACCTACGGATGGTAAGCACAATTGTGCACAATCCTTAGGTTGCTAAGCACCTAAATGCACAAACCTAAGGATGCTAAGCACAAAACATGCACAACCCCTAGGTTGTTAAGCACAAGCATGCACAATCATGATACATAATGCCTCAATCATTGAATAGAATAATACCCAATGACAATCATCCAATACACATTAAAGAAAACTACATGGTAGAGTTAGGGTTTCATAACACCCAAGTGAAAAGAGGTCTACTCCATGCTAGAATTGGGAAAAACAAAAGGGAAAGAGGTGGAAACCATCTTGGAGGATGCTCCCAGTCTTCTTGGCCCTTGAGTTGAGCTTTCCTTGGAGGAAATCTTCCCAAAATATACCTTGAAGAAAAACCCTAGCCTTCTTCTCCCTTTGGTTCGTGTTTCTCTCTCTAGAATTCTGAAGTAGGCTTCTCTCATAAAAATGGGCTCTCCCCTCTCTCCTCCTTTCAGATCATCATTTAAACTAGAGACGAGCTGAGTTCACGGCCGTGAACCACGAAACGCGTCCGTGAACTGCAGGCATGCGTCAAAACGCACCGCTTCGAGCTCTTCTGTTCACGGTCAACATCCTTCGTTCACGGTCTTAGTGACTGTAAACTCACATTGCGTCAGTAACCTCCGTTTTGGTTCTGGACGCCTCGCGATTCCCGGTTAAGGCCTCTTCTTCACGGTCATGCAAGACCGTGAACTGGCCCTTTTTCACCTCTTCTACCAGCCTTCGATCCTTTTCGCCCAAATTTCGACTCCGAGGCTGGTTTCACCTGTTAAATCCTGAAACACACTAAAACACGAGGAACCTAGCGTAAAACCAACCTTTTAGGAGCAAATTTGGCACAAACACCTAAGTAAAACGGGGGCAAAACATGTACAATTAGGCCCGAATCGCTCCCCCACACTTAGACATTTGCTTGTCCCCAAGCAAACCATTTCACACAAGTTCATATTTCAACCTACACAAATACTTTGGGGACAACTCAAAGGGCACAAAGTGGGAATTCTCAATGGCTATTGGCAATAAATACATTGACTGTTGCAAGCAATACCGACATCCACCACAAACGACATTCGAAGCCACAAAAAACGGGCAAACAAAAATTTCCAGCCTTCAATGAGGTCAAAATCGTGCTTTAAAACTTAAAAACTTGCGATTTTACGTTTCTAGATCACTAAAACGCTTCTACATAAAATCATAGTTTTTATAACTTATATAGTTAAAAACTCCGCTTTAAAACTTAAAAACTTATGAATTTATGCTTCTAGATCACCAAAACGTTTCTACGTAGAAAATTGCTTTTGACTACATTGCTCACCTTGTTCATGAATCAATGCAAGTCGCAACAAGACCACTTATCAACCACAACCGACCATGTATGGAATTCAAGTCCGTGGAACAAATGGAAAGGCAACAAAGGTCCTCGCCGGGGTGTGATATGACATGCAAAAAAAGAATGAATCACTCACTCTCAAGACCAGTGGGGTTGGGACCTTTTTGGTGCAAAAGATGTGCACAATCATAAACTCTCGGCCCTATCGTCTCAATACCACGGCGGTAACCTCTAGATGCGAGAGTTCACGGGATGGTTGTCACCACTAGCTCGTTCGGAGGTCTTAGACACAGGTTCAGATGACTGGCAATTGTCTTGGACATGGGAAAAAGGCTTTTTGGGTGGTTGCAATCATGACGTGAGGTTCTACATCTTCAGCCTAAACCTGAAGGTTCTATGGTGCTTCTAGGTCGCTTCATCCGTTGACGAAAAGCCAGACGCGTTCGCCGGTTTGGTGCTTCTAAGGAGAATCACAAACACTTAAGGGTGTTTAACCCAACTGCTTTCTTACCCACTAAGGTGAAATAAGTCAGAGCTAGCGATCGACTTTTCAATTGAGTTTCAGGTTGCTAGTTCACTAAGAGTCACTTGACTATTGCATTACCAGGTTCCAAGTTTTAGGTTCTTCAATAACGGTGTTAGGCGCGCACAAGCTGTCAGGGCAATGCCTCTTTGAAGATTCAAAATCTCTTAAGTTAAAAAAGTTGTCAGGCACTCATACTTTGAAATTCAAGCTATATAAGAGGTGACAATCGCTCCATCTTGCAAAAATACGAGGTACCAAAATATAAGTTAGAAGATATCAGGTGCTCACACTTTTAATTTTATGGCACGTCAATGGCAAAAGTCGGACGCTCTAGCTTTGAAGTTGTACAAATATCAAGAAAAAATAGAGATTAGTTTCCCAAAGGCTAAACACGAAGAACATCACGAGCTTCACGGACAAGTTCCTAGAGCACGAAGTGAAGGAATAAAAAGTTTCAAACCCTCGGTCAAAGAGCTTATAAAGGTGCACACCTCTCGGCCAAAGTGGGATGGCAAATTTCTGTTGAAAGAAAATGCCTACGCTCCTAACAGCTTGAAAGAGAGGTGCTAGGGGCCTAAAAACTTAAAATAAAGGTGTTTATGCATTTGACAGGTTGAAAGAGTCCATCAGCTTTAAGAGGTGCTTAGGTGCCTGAAATCAAGAAAGAGAGGTTCTTAAGAACCCGAAAGCTTATAAAGGATATGCCTAAGCTTCTGACATCTTAAAGGAATGTGCTAGGCACATGAAAACTTGAAAGAGAGGTGCCTAGGTACCTTACATCTTGAAAAGGAGGAGCCTAAGTGCCTCACAGGCTGAAAGTGTTTGTCATCTTGAAAGAAACATTTCAGACGCCTCAAAATATGAAAAAGAGGTGCCTAGGAGCCTTGCATCATGAAAAAGAGGAGGAGGTGCATAACAGCTGGAAATAGTTCGTCAGCTTGAAAGGAGGTAGCTCGGAAGAGTCTGTCAACTTGAAAGGGAGGTCTTAAGCGCATGAAACTTGAATGAAAGGTGTCAAGGCTCCTAACAGCTCGAAAGAGTCCGTCAGCTTGAAATGGAGATGCCTAAGCGCCTGCAAATTGGAAAGAGAGGTGCATATGCACCTAATAGCTTGAAAATGATGTGCCTAGGCTATTGGCATCTTGAAAGAGCCAGTTAGCTTGAAAGGGATTTGCTAAGCGCCTAAAAACTTGAAGAGTGTTGGTTCAATTGAAAAAATTGAATGAAGAAATTGAAAAGAGAATGCACAATCGGATTAGGCGCTCATTCATATGATAAAAAAACACGACAAGGGAAGAGTGCAAGCTCTCAAAGGTTGATGGTTCAAAGCAAAGGGAACTCACCATATTCAAAAGAATGGGGAAGAGCGAGGGAAAAAGCGTATTCACTCACTAGATGTGGTGCTAGTATGAGTCGAAACAAAGGAAGGAGAATGATCGAGTACCTAGCATGGGAACTTGACAAGAAGGGTAAAGAGATGACCAGAGGGATAACTCGCGTTCTTTTTTGGAGTCGTCGACACTCGTATTTGGAGTGAAGAAAAAGGAGGCGATTAAACTACTTCAATAAAAAAATGATTGTGAGTAGAGAAGTGCCTGACTTCTTAAAACAAGGACGAAAAAACCCTAATGGGCCGAAGCCCAGCCATCCAACCCGAAAAGAATCCTAAGTTATAGTGCTCTCTTTTTGTTTGAGCCCTCAATCGAAGACGAGAAACAAAATGCCTAGGTGTCGTAAAGAAATGTAGCGCTTAGGAATAAAAGCAGAAGAAAGAGCTCGAACTTGGTATAAAAAAGTGAAGTTAGTTGAAGTTTTCCTGGAAATTTACCTATAATTTGTCTATAACAACACAACGACGAGCCAAAGCAAGAGAAATACAGAGGGAGGAGTCTACTCAATTGATGCCACCATGATACTAATGTCACCATCAAATGGGCAATTGATAGGGTATGAGGCCAAGACTTGATACTAGAAAATGTCCACAAGAGCGTGCAAAAAAAGCCAAAACATAGAGCAACACACTAACCAATGACATCGTCAAAAGAAGAGACAAAGGAGCCTAAGAAAAGGATAAAGTCAGGAGGTAGCCTACAAATCTGACATCATCAAATGAGAGGCGAGGGTAACACTCTACACCATCAGACACCTTCTGACATGAGAGTACAATGTATAAAGACAGAGAGCCTCAAATACCTGACCACAACATTTATGGCTTGACAGGTGCCTTGACCACGTACCTAACATCCAAGCTTGTAGAAATAAGACTTCTCTCGTCATAAATAACAAGCTATCTACATTCACTACAACTTCTTTCGTATCGTGCTTACACGACCCACTTATAGACTATGTCGTGCCCACGCTCATAAAATTTAAGTAAAATATATCCTATAAATAACTTATATTCGTGCTAGGGTGACACATATATCTTTGTATTCGTGCTCATATCGTGCTCTACTCGTGCTAGTACTTGACCGGCCCGACCTGATTCCATAAGAATCTATGTAAATTGTAAAGTAGATTTAACTTTGAAGAACCGGTTCAAGGAGAAAGAATTAAAGTCCAGCCCAAGTCATTTTCTTTCTATACAAGGACAGGGAAAAATTGATGACCACACTCTCTTCCCACTTCTCACTCTTCTTCTTCTTCTTCTTCTTATCTCTTTTTCTTTTTTCCCCCTTTCTTCTTTTCCTTTCTCTTGTCCTGTTGTTTTAATCTCATCACCTCAATTCCAATCTGTTCTTTCATCTTTAAACTGGCTCCTAATCGTTCCCACAAAAGACAAAACAACAAGCTCCAGATCCCCCTCTCCCTCCTTCGAAATCCTCCACAGTGGAGAGATTAGATGGGCAGAATCCGCTGCCAATATTTCCCCCAACAAAGCAAGGGCTAGCTAGAGAGAGAGAGAGAGTCAGAGAGAGAAGCAGAACATGGTGAGCTCTAGCTGATGAAGGAAGGAGACGGAAAAGGGAGAGAGAGATGGAATTTGATGAGCACAAAGACGACGTTGAAGAGGAAGAAGAAGAAGAAATGGTGACGGCAACTGCCAAGACTACTAGCTCTTCCGGCGGTGGAGGAGGAGAAGGCGATGGGTCCGGAGGAGGCAGCGCGAGAATTAAATCGAGAAACAGTTCAGCCGCCGCTGCACCGGTGAGATACAGAGAGTGCCTGAAGAATCACGCGGTCGGGATTGGGGGCCACGCCGTGGACGGGTGTGGGGAATTCATGGCGGCGGGGGAGGAAGGCAGCCTCGACGCGCTGAAATGCGCCGCCTGCAACTGCCACCGGAATTTCCACCGCAAGGAAACAGCTGAGGGAGCTGGGGAACCGATGATTCCGCAGCAAAATCCGCCGCCGCCTCCCCAATTCTCGCCGTACAACTACCGCGGCGCCGCCCCACCGCCGCCTCACCTCCACAGGACCGCACCGTCACCGCATCGGCCGCTGGCTCTCCCCGCGGCGGGCGGCGGGGGAGGGTACAGTAGGGAAGAGGAAGACGTGTCGAATCCGAGCAGCAGCGGCGGAGGAGGGGGAGCGAATAATAATAGTAGCGGTAAGAAGAGGTTCAGGACGAAGTTCACGGCGGAGCAGAAGGAGATGATGAGGAGATTCTCGGAGAGGATTGGGTGGCGGATCCAGAAGCAGGACGAAGGAGCGGTGGAGCGATTCTGCGCGGAGACGGGAGTCCGGCGGAAAGTTCTCAAGGTTTGGATGCACAATAACAAGCACACTCTCGGTAAGGAGCCCTCGTAACAACAATAGTAATGATAAATAATAGTTTTTTTTTTCTTTCCCTCTTCTCCTAAATGATGAGGATTAAGTACTCTAATCATCATTATGATCTACTGATTATCGAGGAGATGGTTTGTTTAATTCTCTTGTGTTAACTATATTATATATAGATACGGGTGTTGTAATGTATGATTAGTGGGGAGATAGCTAGGGTTTATGTATCTTAATTACTGCCGTTGCTTTTATAAGAGTCTCTTCTCTCTACCCGTCTTTTGTTTATTTATTTTATTTTTCAAAATGTTGTAAAATGGTGCTAATGTGTTTTGGTGATTGATAGATAGCATTATAGGTAGGTAGCCTGGTTCCAGTTTGTCAGAGATGGAAGAGATAAGGAGGGATGGGTCGGAGAGTGGGGAGCTGTTGCTCAATTAATATTTAAGAGTAATTATTTTTGCAATGTGGAAAGGGGAAAATTTTCCAGCTATTAACCAAAAAAAGATAATTCCTCTATAAACCGACCTTTTTTTAGATGGATGGATGTGGGTGATTAGTTTGTGTAAGCAAAGGAAAGAAGAAGGAGAGGCAGCAGCAGCAGCAGATTCAAGATGGGCGAGATGATGAAAACGTGGTTAGCATGCAGCAAAGCAAAGCATTGGTTTGCTGTCACCTTGTCCTTCTTTTACTCTCTCCTTCCTTTGCTTACTTCTGAGCGCTTTGGCTCTATAATACGTGACTACAGCTCTAGCTACCATCATCCTAACACTTATCCCTTTCTTCTCTCTCTCTCTTTCTCTGCGCATTAACTATTCAATTCAGACCTAGCTAGGTGTTGTTATTTTCTACTTCTGCGTATTTCACAACAACTGCAAGAGTAGAAAAGCAAAAATCAGAGAGATAATTAAATTACAAGTTCTGCCAGGACCTTTTTTTTTCTTTCTGTAAGAGGGTACAAGTGTATATAAATTATAAACTATAAAGAAACCAAGAATAATATATATGTGTGTGTTGGAGAAAGGCGAACAATGGAGTTTTTGTAGGACATTGATCATACAAGCCAAGGGCTATATATAACAGCATATCAAATAATAATAATATAAGATTGGGAGGGAGGGAAGTAGGTGGCTAGGGGAGCCTGGGGCTGTGTAGGGTTTGTGTTGGGTTGGAAGAGTAAGGAATTGAAACTGTCGGGCCCAGAAATAACAAATGAAACCTAAAATCATTGCTTCGTTGAGCCTTGCATCTTTTTCCATTCATTAATTTTGTGTTTCTACTCTAATTATAAAACAAAATGCTATCTATCAGCAAGGAAAGAAGAGGGGAGATTAGTATGGAAGGGAATTGAGGGATTCGTTACTTTGATTCGATGATTTGGTTTTGGATTGGGTGTGAATTGAGCCCAAACCCAAATGAGTTGGTCCAAATGATTGTTCATACACAAAGATAACGACTCAGTTTGGAGGAATTTTACAATGCTATATAGTATTGGTGCTATAGGTTTTTGCCTTTATGGTACAACTTAAAATTGTACATTTATGTTATGGTACAATTTCATATTGTACCTATACTGTTTGTACAAATTCTTTTATGGTACAACTTGAACTTGTACCTTTATGTGATGGTACAACTTCAAGCTGTAAAGTTGTACCATAACATAATAGTACAAATTCTTTTATGGTACAATCTAAACTTATACATTTCATGTTATGGTACAACTTTAAGTTGTACATTAAAGCACCAATACTATATAGCATAGTAGAAATGCTCCTCAGTTTGACCCTGTTGTAGCTTTTGAATAAGTAGCTTCTAATTTGAGTTTTTAGAGAAGTATATTTTAAAAAAAAAAACAATTGAGTGCTTGGTTGAAAATTTATTAAAAGTGTTTTTAATATGAGAGGTTGAGTAAAATGACTATAAAGATCTTATAATATAAACTATGAATAATAATTCTAAACAATAAAATATAGTCAAATTGGATCTTGTTAGACTTCTTTTATATAAAATAATATGATTTTATAATTTTTTATTTTTAAATAATATAAATGAAAGAAAGTTATATTTTCTGAAATAAAATTAAAATATGGTAAGAATAATTTTGTATTTTCAAAACAGCTTCCCGCAGAAGTTTCAAATAGGAGCTTCTGCTTTTATGTTATACGAAAGCGCTTTTCGGCTTTTCAAAAGCTGAACTTTTAGAGGTGTTTGGCCCTGTTTCAACTTTTGAAGTCGAAAAGCACTTATAAGAGCTGGGCCAAACATAGGCAACATTGACAATCTCATTGATTCCCTTCAAGCCATTTACACTTTTAATATTGGTGTTTCTACTTTTTCTTTTTGTTTTCATAACAAAATATAAGGTAACATTTGTATTAAAATCGGGTATTCATTTGTTTTTTTATCCAATGATATGAGTTCAGTTTAGCTCCAAACCAAAAAAAAAAAACATTTGAGTTCGTAAAATTTTGCGAACATAATTTGATAGTTAATAAGTTCGTAAAATTTCCATTGCTAAAATTGATTGACAATTTCTAAATATGTTTCCTACAACCAAGTAATCAATTTTAGCAATTTTTCACATAGCAATTTCTAGTCAAGTCATTAGGATTTCTAAAATATGTTAGCAATTTCTAATGTGGCTCCCACTCACTATTTAAATCTATCAAACACTTTAGAAGGCATACCATAGTGGTGACCTTCAAGATTGTATTTGCTTGTGCTATCAAATCTATTGTTATTTCAAAACTTTACTACGATCTAATTGATCGATTACAGCTGCGATCTCTCTATTTCTCTTGAGCCAATTTTTGATCGCCTTCAAGACTGAGTAAAGGAATTCACGATCACGAACATGGAAGTGTCGGTCGTAATCTCTTTCACGACCACTACTGCAACCGTGAATCTGGCTGTGACATGCTCGTGGCCTCTTTTTCTTCTTGCTAATATGGTGTCTTTCACATTTTATGTCCCTATGAGTGGCTAGCTTCAATAGTTGAATATATTTGTGGACCGTAGATATCCAAAGATTATGTATGATGTTTTGATCACAATTTATTTTTGATAGAAACCTGTCTTTCACAATTTACATTTATTGATGTTTGATTTACCTTGCATTGATTATTTCTATCAATTATGAATCCCATGTGTGTTTGTATGAGATGATTGGAGATTACATCTTGTATGATTCTATGCACACCAATACCTATACATGACTAGACACTTAATTGCAAAGGTTAATGGCGACAGTGAAATTTATTGACTATGTGCATGCCATTCTAGTTCATCTCTCAAGGTTAGCTCCACCAAAGAGGGTAGGATATTAGCAAAGTGAGTGGAGAGTTTCGCGTAAATGTAGATCACTTCTATTTAGCCCAGATAACCAAATAGCTAATGTGATTGTCCACAAAATATGTAACCCATTCCATTAGAAAATGAATTTACTTACAGTTTCCCACTTGGGCTGCATAATTTGTTGAAAATTTTACCAGATAGAACTATTTAGGCGCGCAACCGTATGTTATTCGTGCTTAGACATCTCCTGAAACAATTTGGTCCACCTCATGTGTTAATTATGAGACCGATGCAGCTTTAATCATAATATGACAATGATTAAACTACCATGATCACCATTATAGGTGTCAATCGGGCGGGTTCGGGCGGGTTCAGGCTGGGTTCAATCGAGTTCGGGTTCAAACGGGTTGCGGGTTAGTCGGGTTGCGGGTTCATCGGGTTCGGGTTCATCGGGTTCGGGTTCAAACGGGTTGCGGGTTAGTCGGGTTGCGGGTTCATCGGGTTCGGATTCAATCGGGTTGCGGGCAAATCGGGTTGCCGGTTCATCGGGTTTTGGGTCGGGCGGGTTGCGGGCTGGTCGGGTTTCGGGTTGTTCGGGCCAGCGCATCAAGTAACTTAACTCATTACTAATTACCAACTTGCACATTTTATTACACTAATTTAAAATATTTTCTCAACTTTTTCACCAATTTATTTCTACGTCGTATATATATATACTTTATTTTTTTGAAAAAAAACTAGTCAAAATATTAAATCAATTTGTATGACTTGCAAACTTGTTATGTAATTAATCATAATTGGTAAAGTATTATAGCTAATAGTAATGGTGATATCAATATTTGCAACCAAAAGACACCATTAATTATTTATTTGATATTTTAGTATTAATTTAGTAGTAATTGGATTAAAGTATCTCGTTTAGTATAACCATGCAAATCTGGTATTTGTCGTGTGGTATTTGGCAAAAGCATAGTGATAAAAGGAGTTATTTCAAAATAACTCATTGCCCAAATAACTTTAGTAAACTGTTGCCAAACGAGTTATTTGTAAAATTATTCGAATTACCCTAAAAATTGACCCATTAAAGATTAGCTATCAAATTTAGTAAAATTATTGTGACTTCAATCATAACTTACTCAATAGCATATATCCTATACACTTAGCTTTACCCTCAATCAACAATATTAAGTTAGTATATGTTGTTGATTGTATACCCTAAACCATCAATACATTATACACTAACCACATAACCTATACCCTAATCATATGTCCTTGAGTTGTGATTTTGCTAGTATAGTTAATTAAAAGTGAAATTCATACTTTGATTTTCAAAACATAGATAAAAAGTGATATTTGCTAATTGTTATACCCCAACCATATATCCTATACTTTACACCACATACCTTGTACCCCTAACCACGTACCATAAACATAAATTAAAAAGGGATCTCCACCATTAAAGACTTCAAATGACTTCAAGTGAACATATGTTAATAAAAAACATAGAACCGTCAAAACCATCAATATCTTATACCCTAACCATATACACCCTAAACCATATGTACCTTATACCTTATACCCTAACCATATACTTTATATCCTAAACAACGAACCGTCAAAGATTACTTATCAAGTTTAGTATAAATTGTTGTAACTAATGGTTAATTTATTTATTAGCCCATAAAAAATTACATACATATATACATATTAGCCTTCAAAGAATATAAGAATAATTTTAACTAGTCATGCCCTCCATATAGGGGTGGCTATACGGTCCGGTCTGGTTAAATTGGACCAAATTGATCCGGTCCCAGTCCGGTCTTTTCGGGGATATAAGGACCAAAGATTGGATTGGATACACTCTGGTCTTGATCCGGTCCGATCTTGACCCGGTCCGGTCCCAATTTTATCTTGATTTTAGGTGTTGGGGGTCTCTTATCCGGTCTTTATCCGGGTTTTTTTACCTCAAATCTAAGCCCGAATATGAGATTGGATTGTTTGCTATCCGGTCCCGGTCCGGGTTATACGGTCCGGTTTCGGGTAAAACCAAACAATCCTGGACCAAATTGCCAGCCCTACCTCCATATAAAATTTAAAGATTCATATTTCAAAAGCTAAAATTATGAAAAACCAAAAAATTGAAAAGACCAAATTTGTTTTC